ATCCATATTTCTGTTCGTTCAAACTACACTAGAGTTCGTGATTTCTACTAATTCTACTTTTTATTTCAATGTTTGTTTTGATGCCGAGGAAAATATTATAACCATTCGTTAGTTTTGGAAGACTTTTATAGATGTTTTTATTTCCCTAAAAATTTGCTCTTACCTTTTTGAACTGGGAAGAGCAACTATTTTTGGGTTGTGGGCCACAAAAACTACCAAAATATAGAGTCGGAACCAAAATTAACATTTATACACTGTAAGAATTTTTAGTCTAAAATTATGGTTAAATAACTGGTCAGCAGTCTGTCCATCCGATTAGCCGTAAAATTTATGGTAAAGAACATATTTTAACCTTTACGGTTTTGAAACAGTTTAAAACTAGTGTGATTATAAAACTACGAATAGAAAACTATTCGGTTTTTTTAACCATTTACAACTAACATGATTTCAAAACCTAAAAAAAGAAATTAAACTGAACATAGGAGCAAGGTTTTCCGTTAGGTAATGAGCATTGGAGAGTGCTGGACACAAATTGGGGAGAACTAGAAAATGCTCATGCGTTGAAAAGAATTGAAGAAATATTGCGGTGTCAACACTGAGACTCAAATTGTTGAGTCTCAGTGTTGCCCGTTTGGCTGTAATGTGTACGCAATTGCAAGGAGCTAAGTGGCTTCATTAGGTGGGTTTAGTTGGTGTGATAAAATTGGTTGCTTAACGGTTGCTATAAAGTGAAAGCAGGTAATAAACGGTTTTTCTCATTGTTAACAGTTTGATTACCATCGTATTAATGGGTATTTGACTGTTTTGTTTTTGAATACGGTGAAATAAAAATTAAATAAATTGTTATTTGACCATTTTTTTTCCGAGAAATTTCTAACAGTGTGCTGTAATTATAAAAATACGAGAAATACTTAGATTCTGTTTGAAAGTAATGTGAATAAGTTATGTCTAAAATTGATCTTCTGTTCTCGTACAGGTAACAAAAATAATTAATGTGAATAAATTCAAACAATTGCACTTATTTTATCAAATTATGGTAAGTTTATGTAAACATCAGTACACTACGAAATAGATAAATTAAATTTGCTTTCATAACTTGTACTATAATTCAGAACAGTATCAGATTACTGTGTTAACTGTCGCTAGAATTTTTAAATGATTTATTTATAAATTTTACCTACTTGCGTAAGTTTCTGTTCTTCTCTTTTAATTTATTTACAAATTTATAAGTTAGTATAATTGTATAGTTTTTTTTTATAAATTTATAGTTTTTAATTATATTTTCTCTGAATCCATTGCATAAATAGAACTTTTATAATGAAACTGAAATAGTCACATTTTAATACTCAGAGGAAGGCTGCGAAAAAAAAATTTTTTTTTTAATTTTTTTTAATTTTTAAATTTTGCATTTCTTGTTAGAAATTCTTACGATTGTTTGAAACAATCTATAACTTTAACTTTCTATCTTATTATTTATAACTTATAATCTATAACTTTCAGTTACTTTTTTTTCTTTTATATTTTTATTAATTTTAGACAGTTCAAGGGCCAAGTTAAAAGGCTTTTGTGGGTTAATTTTTGTCCTCGGGCTATAGGTTGTGCATTCCTGTTTTTGGAAAATAAATAAATAGAATGTTTGAAATTTAATTATCGGATGGTACTTATTCACTTATTGTATTAAGATCATTAATGGAGTTTGAAAAATTTATCATTCACTTACTGTTTCTTTCAAAGAAATGATGAACATCATGTAAATGCAGTTTTAACATTCATACAGACGTTAGGCATTGACCGCGAAAGTATGATTAAATTTAACACCTTATAATAGTTATAGCAAATTAGTGCGATATTTTGGTTCAGAATACCAATTCGTATGCCATCATCATTCAATATTATATCCATTTTTCAGAGAAAATTGAGCAAAAACTTTAGTTAAGAGCTTGTTTTAAAACGTTTATGCTAATGTGATTAAAGTATGAAAATTTTTGAAAACTTTTTCAAAAGTTCGCTCATGAATTCCTATTTACAAGCGTGAAAAATTTACTTAGAGGCTTTTAATTAGTCCAAACTTGATAAAACTCAAAATTTTGTAGTTTTTTGAAAAAGTAACAGAATTAAATAATTATATTCATGAGTTGTAGTGTTTAGAGGAAAAATTAAATATTAAAATTTAGAAAAAAATTGCCTACTTTTTTTAAGAAAAAAAAAACGATTTTTAATTCTCATTAAAACAGCGCCTTCATAAATCCGCGTATATTTAATACCTTTCATTTTTTGATTTTGAATAAAACTAAAACTTATAAAAGTAAATTATTTCTAAAAATTGTTTCAAATAATCATAAGAATTTCTAACAGGAAATGAAAAATTTGAATTTTTTTTTTTCAAATTTCTTTTTTTTCTTCCATTAAGCATTATAAAATTTATGTGGAGTGTAATGAAATTTAGCTCTTTAATTTTCTTTATTCCTACTACTGATTTTATAGTACTGAGGTCCCGAATTGTCTTAAGAATTAAAAGTTAAAAATCGCTAAAGAGAAAATAAATTTGCAAATGCAACATTTTTAATACAACAAAAATGCAATATTTGTATAAAAGAACAATATTTGTATGTGTGCAAAACAATTAAAAATACATTATCTGTGTGGAAAAATTATTATTGTTTTAATACTATATTTTAATTGAATCAAACATATCTAGAGGCACTTTATGTTTGATTTAATTAAAATGTAGTATTAAAACAATAATAAATTTTCCACACAGATAATGTATTTTAGATCATGAATGATTTAAAATTAGTTTGTTGTAAATTGTATAAAATTTTAACTTAATTTTCTTTTTTTTTTCTCATCTATGTTAGTTAAAATTCTTAAGTTAACTCAAAATTAATTCGCTTTTATATTTACAGGTCCTCAGCTTTTTAAAATAATTCGCTACATGTTTTCTCTAATATGTCTTATGGGAATTTGCTTTCATCTTTTCCAAAATGTTAATTTGTTTATCATATGTTAATTCACATGTATATCTCCGTCTCTTTCGAGAAAGGAAGATAATTATTCTTGTATTTGATTATGTTCTGCTAATTACCGAAAAATGTTTTGTCTCAGAAGTGAAACTGGAAAAAAAAATATTCTAATCAATTAAATTTCATTTCATGAGAAAAATTTTAGATTCTATTAAATTTCTCATTTAACTGAATAAAAAAAAATCCAAATTTTTAACGAAATGCAATGTGTAGTCAGCTTCATTTTATTTCATTTTAATTCATTAAGCGTGAAAGCATAATTAAGTTAACATTTAAGTTAACATGAATATTTCTATAACGAATATATTATTATTGTATTTATAAGAAATATATGAAGTTTAGCTTACAAATTTTGCGAAACTTACAAACTATGGGGTTAAACACAATCTGGAATAAAATCTTTTAAAACTAGAATTTTTTTTCTTCTTTTCTCAATAGACGTTTCAATAACTCCATCTATTTTTGGAATCATTATAAATACGTAGTCATTCTCTTTAATTAAACTGTTTGTTAAAAATACGTAATTTTTAGTTTACACATTTTGCACAATTTACAAATTATGGTAGAGAAATAAATTTTTAAATAAAAAGTACAAAACGCGTACAAGCATTTTTTTGAAGCAAGAAATAGAATTAAATAAGGAAAAGTATGAATTGAAAAAAAAAAGAATAAAGTTTTTTGAGCAAACGATTCTATAATAAAAGTGTTATTTCAAAATCGTTTTCTTAATATAAGAACTTAAATTTTTGAATTAACTTCCTGTCTTTGAGTGAAAAACATATTTTGTTCTTATAAATGGTTGTACAACATCATGTAAGTAAAATTTGTACACAGGCTTTGTAAATTTAAACCCATGGAAAATATTAAAAACTCTGTCTATATGTTGATTCAAAACGTAAAATTATGTTCTTAAAGTATGTTTTTATTTGTGGCAATTTTATATTTATTACTCTGGCAATGTTGTCCGTGAATAATATTTTATTTTTACGATCTAAATTAAATAAACTTTTATTCCTAATTTATTTTATTTCACACTAATAATTTTTAGACGTTGAAACTATAACAAGTTTTACTTCTTTTATAGTATTTTTTACAATTTTGAATATTTTTCTTAAAGTATTTCTATTTTAAGATTTAGAAAGAGAAATCAAAATATTGATTTTCTATCGTTTTTTCACTTGATAAGAATACCGTGTCTTTTTTAAACTTTTCATATGAAATCTATTTTTATATTTTCTTGGATATTTCTATGTTACGTTCTGCTTTTAGCGTCTCTAATGAACTGCATTGATTTCTGACTACTCCAATGTAGAACATCGAAGTATAGAAAGTAAAAATAAAAGTTAGTGAATCGATTTTCAATAAACTAGTTTTTTTTAAAGCTGGCAAGTTTATAAATTTTTCGTATTTGCCGTTAATTAAATTTGCCTTTATATTATACTATTACTGTATTACTATACATTATTTCTATGAGAAAGAAAGCAATTAAAATTTAAAGATGAAGTTCCTTTATAAAAAGGTATTGATATGCACATCTAGAAAAAGTAGATATATTCAATAATTTTGGCGATGCATGAAGTTTAAAGGGTTCTATTGATTTCATTCTCTCATTTAAAAAAATTTTTTTTTTATTGTCAGTGTTAGTGATAATCTCCTTAAAGGTATTAATAGGTATTGCTAAGCTCTTCAAGAGAAGAAAAAATTAGCATATAATATTCAATAACTGTTACATATTATTCAATATATTATATTATTGGAAATATTTTTCAAATATATTTTGATCAATAATTTAAACATATATAAATTCTTCTCCACTTTAATTGTATTGATTGATATTTGTTTATTCACTTCTAGGAAAAATTGATGTATTGCGTTTATGATTTTTAAAATTGAAAGAGTTATGTCGTTTTTTTTAAACTTTTTTTGTTGAAAAATGTACTTTCATGTAAGTGACTGTCTACTTAATTCTTTGTCTAGGTGGCTGTCTGCCGGTAGATGGGGTGCCGGATATGACTGTCATCAGTGATATTGATGAGCAGGGCATAAATACAAATTTAAAGACACGGTACCGGAGAGATGACATTTACGTATCCTTTCAAGTTTTTAATTTTATGTGTAGAATTATTATAATCTCAAGGAAAGGTATGTAATATTTTGATTTGTAGCAATTGACCTTAATTTATTTCTTTGTTTGAGAATCAATTGTTGCAATTATTTATTAATTACGAATGGTATTTTTTTATTATTTTAAAGTATTATGTTAATTATTATATATTAATGTATTACCAGTTTGCTGTCCGTCAAGGAGTCAAAAAATCAAATTCTTGGTTATCGTAAAGATTTCAGTATGTTCTTTGTTAGCGCCTGGACTGTTTCTTTAAGTTATTAATAATTTAATAATTAATTTGATTCCAACAATGTTTGTTACTGAACACGATGATTATAAAAAAACACTTATTTTTTGGTTTTTTTTTGTTAGAATCTGTAAAACAGTTTGGTTTTAAAATATTTGTATTGTTGTTAATCGGGTTATTTTTTAGTTGATAGTTATTTCTTGAAATGCCCAACCTCTGTAACATTAATAGCGAATTTATACTTAATTCTTGTTAGTTAATTGTTATTAGAAGAGCAAATTTTTTAAATTTATTTAACTTAAATAACTATTGCTGGTAACTATTAAAGCTCTCAGTCTTTTTTCCCCCTGAGTTAATCTTTATTTACTCGTTTTGACGAGGTAAAGGCTTAGTCATTGTTTTGTTGTCTGAAAATTTTTTCGAATGTAATCATTAGGATAGAAACCTACGGCTAGCTGGATTTGCTCAGAATACTAGGTTCTATCTTCTCTTAGCTTCAAAATTCGATTCTAAGTTAGGCAACGATGCTGTAGCAGGGAAGTTTTAAAACTATATTTTCAAAATAACCCGCATTTATAAAGCAGCAGCAACGGAGCATACAGTTTGAAGAACAGAATTCACAGTTGCCTGTGCAAAAGCGTCTTTTGGAATGGTCTGGCATGACGCAGAAAGTATTGTTTTTGAATTTCAACCTAGCTAGGAATGCCACCTGTCGATAAATTTTGGTACTAGTTTTCAAACTTGATGAGAATAAAAACTGGTTTCCAGAGTTGAACGCAGAAAACCGTACATATATATTTCCATAAATTTTTCTTTAACAATATTTGAAATCTTTTGCTCTTTTTTGGACACCTGCTAAGTTTTTATTCCACTAGTGTTATGAAATTTAAACCCTTAATTTATATTCAACAAATGTCAATAGTTCTAGTTTTACAGTATATGTTACTTCTTGAAACTCCTGAGATAATTAATGTGCCGGTTATATAATTGTATATGTAAAAGGCTGAAGTCTGGTAAATCGTTGTTTTTTCCGTTAAAACCTAAGATTTACTAAAATGGCCTACTAACTTATGGGTTTTACCGCAAAGGCTAAATAAAAGTCCGAAATGGATTTATATTAAAATGTACATCGGACTTTGCCAAGTCACTTTGGTAAAAGCCTGATTTTTTTGTCCGTAAAACCTAGGATTTACCATAGTCGCTTGTTAACTCCTAGACTTGTCTTACCGCAAATGCTTTTAAAAGGCTAAAATGGAATCATAATACTTCGGTCTTTAATCAAGCCACTTTGGTAAAACCTATGTTCTATAGGTTAGACCAGGGGTGGGCAAACCTTTTTGGTCGAGGGCAAGAAAACGTGAAAAAAAGTCTAAAATGAAAAAACGATATATTCAAGTTTTAATTAAAATATTCAATGCAATGAATGAAATTGCAATTTCATTTTTAAAAGTTCCTTACATTGAAGTTCCAAGTGAAATGTATTTATTTTAAGGAACGAGGCCAAGTGTTTGTCTGTTAGTCTACTTCTGAAATGATTTTTTCTAAGGTTCATAGTTGAAAACACTTGTTCACATATATAAGATGAAGCAAACATAGCACTGATTTTCTGGGCATGAAATATTAAATTTGGGAAACTAGCTTTTGGTAATGATTTGTAAAACTCAAACTTTGTAAAACTCAAACAACTGCTTCAGATGTCACCAATCTACGGCTATTTCTATTAAGAACTTCTGCTTTCAACATTTTACCAATTGAAGTTGTCTGTGCTAGCTATTTCCATCAATTAATGTTTTGTTGAACAAAAATAGAGAAAATAAAAGGCCATTAGTAGTTTGTTAAAAAAGAAATAACAAAAATAGCTTACAACAAAGTAGAAGGTAGAAAAGAAAATGGTTGTATATTGTTTATATTCGCCATGAATTGGCAAGTTGAAATTTTATCCGCGGGCCGGATAAAACCTGGCCACAGTTTACCGGATAAAACCTGGCCGGCGGGCCACAGTTGGCCCGCAGGCCGTAGTTTGGCCATCCCTGGGTTAGACCAAAGATTTTTCCAGACATCGAGTTTTTACTTTAACATATATACTCAATAAACAGGACTATAAACTTAAGTTCATTGAAAAACTGATTATAATTTATTGAAGACAATAAATATATTTTTGATTTAAATATTCTTTCCAGTGACATCAGTCGACCTGATAGACAGCACAAATAACCCTAAATATTTTTCGCAGATTATACATATAAATATGGTAATTACCAAACACGGCAAAACAATTTTAGCTACATTTACTTCTCTGAATGCGATGTATTAGATATACATAGGTACACGAAAGCTATTTCCATGCTGAAGTCATTAATATTCCACGAGTGTGAAAGGTAGCGGCCTGCTTTTCCGTAATGGATTAGAAAATCAAATTCTTGGATGTCGTAAAGACTTTTTACGGTTTCCTTTGGCTGATGAAATCGCATAAAAAATAGTCCATTTTATTTTCTTGGGAACGCAAATACAAATAAACAGGTAGAAACATGTCTTTTTCCTTGTACATATAGATGGTTGCACAGAGTGAGAAGAGTAAATTAGGCAATTTATTTTCTTTTTGGGCTCAGTTCGGAAATTTATTGCTTATATCTGGGGTATGAAATTTTAAGAAACTTGGAATTCGCAATCGAGAATGATTTAGTATTGTGTTGGCTGTTTTTTTTTTCTGTCTTGGAATGAAAACTGCGTATTTATTGTATCGAAGAAATTGTTAAGACATGAATTGAGATACGGTTCGGAATTGTTTCTGGAATTCCTCGAAATGAATTTTTTTTTTTTTAAAAAAAAAGTAATTTTAAAAATTTTAATCGTACTTAATCTTTTGAGTTAGTTTTTTTTTCTCGCTGTTTAGATATGATGTTTAGGCTCCCCTTTACTCTTAGTGGTGAAATTAGCGAGCTAAGATTGGAACAAAAAAAGCTGAATTTTTTTTTTTTAAATAAATTTTTTTAATGTTTTTCAATGACTTGTTGCGAATTGTTTACTATTTTTATTTTTCTCACAGTATTATTCGTACCTAATTTTGGGAAATTATAATTTCGTTTATATTATTTCTCTGAATAATAATATCTTGCTTTATATTTATATTTTAAATATTTAAATAAAGAAATCCGATTACTTTTCGAACCATTTTAGAACTAATTATTTCCCTAATTTAATTAGCTTTCTTTGTTTTCAACATTTTTGAAATATTGTTTCAAATATTATTTTTTTTACGTAATCTAAAAAGCTCTATGTGTCGTAAATTTCATCAATTCTGTGTTTTACCTTACTTACCTACTTTAAAACAAGCGTAAAATTAACACATTGCTAACATAATGCTACTATAGCGTAATGAAATGAAAATACTATATTTTCAATTTTATTTTTATATTCAATCGATCAATTCTATATCAATAAAATCAAATTTATATCAATACAATCAAATTTTAAAATTAAATCAAATATTGAAAGCAATTTTTATTTGTCTAAAACAAAATAAAATAAAAAGAACGTGAAAAAAAAACACAAATGAAAGTACAGAAATTGACATACTATAGTATCAGTCCTATTAACAAGAATCTGCCTCATTGTCTAAACCTCAAATGAAGATTGAGAAGTAAAGAGACAAACACGTGTAAAGGTATAAAGTGGTTTAACCGGGGTTATTGAAGTGAAACTATATAGTACAGGGGTGGCCAACCTGCGGCTCGCGAGCCACATGCTGCTCTTTGAAGGATTATATGTGGCTCTCGATAAATGTATCCGAGTTTCCTTTTCATTTTTGTGCTATTATATTTTAAAAAATCATTATCGTTTCGTATGTTCCAAAATTTGGAAATTTGTACCAGAATCGAAGTATCTTGAATTAAAAAAGGCTGCTTGTCGAATTATTTCAATATTCAGAACAACGTACTTATGTGAATAATTTTATTCCACTTTAAAATTCGTGAAATCCAAACACCGATCAGTCTTAGCTAACCAGCATCTCAAAGAATTACTGAGAAGTGCTGTCACCAATTATTCACCAAATTTTAAACAATAAATTTTTAAAGAATAAATTTTCAATAAATATAATTTCTGTAAAAAAATATTTTTTAATACCTTTTTTTCATAATTTTAAATACGTATTTAATTGCGGCTGGCGAAAAATTTTAAATTTTGAAAAACGGCTCGACTATCAAGGAGCTTGGCCACCCTTGCTATAATATGTCAATTTATGTACTACTTTCATTTGTGCTTAATTGTTGTTATTTTGCTTTAGTTTACTTAGTACAAAGAATTCCATATTCTTTTGTTGAATTATTTATGAGTTTTTGAATTAAAATGATAATAAGTCCATTTTAAAATAAGCAATTTATGTTATTTTATTTACAGGAAAAATATTATAATTTATGTAATAATTAAGTATTCATAATTTAATTATAATTTGTACCAGTTATTGCATCCATGGCAATTTAAAATATGAAAGAATAGTAATTTACAATAATTATTTAATCAATGACCTACATTATAGTATCATAATTTGAAACTTTGTTTTCGTGGCTTCATAAAAATCTTACTTTTGAAATAATAATTTCTGATAAAACAATTGTAACTCTATAGTCATTTGTGAAAGCGCACAGTATTTAATGACTTCTTCAAATAATTTAATCGACTACGCTATCGTGACTGCTGATGAATTTTTTTTAGAAATATCTTTCTCAAACCCC